CATTGGGCCATTGGCCTAACCCCTATAGAGAGTTGAGCCTTGATGGATGAGGTGAGATATGTAGAGGCATTTTCGAGAATATCTTCATACAAGATCTTGTACCAAGTGGATAATGTGACAACTCACTAATTAGGCGAATCTACTCAATCAAACAAGTCAAGTCAAATCTTCCATAGGGTTGCCAAGCAGTTACAACATTAAATGCAGCATGGTTTAATAATGATTGATTGATATCTACGACGAGATCCTAACCGCTAGGATGAGGTTATGTGTATGTCAGTTGGTTCACAGATGCTACCATCAATGAAGCCAAGCTTGTTCTTGATTCGAAGAGCCCTCTTCACGGACCTTGCCCAAGAGTGATAATTACTGGAATCGAGCTGCTATGTAACGAATAGTGCTCCTGAATTTTCGGTTGCTCCAATGAAGTAGGGCTGTTGGGAAGTAAGGGATCATGAGTGTTTGTATTTGTGTTTGTGTTTGGAGGTATTGTTTGATTTTGATTTTCAATTGTGTTGATGACATTACCATCATTTCTGGCTTTTGAAACCATATAAGAAATGCTGATAAAAATGTTTGAAAAGAAAAATAAAAAGATGAAATTCATAAAGCATCTATAGTCGATGCATTCTGTTTTTCATATATCTATGATAGAAAAGATGGATATATACATACAATTCAGCAGATAAAAACTATACATGTGGCAGACAAAAAATTTGTTACAAATTGTATGCACTATTAATAGAATTTGGAATCCAATTGCAACCGCATCAGGCCATGTGGGTGATCTGGTAATGCTGTCTTCTAGGACCTTTTTGGCTGCATCCCAATTTGATCTTCAACACTACCAGTGCTTGTGGCTTTTTGACCTACACACAGTATGCCAAGCTCATTTAGAAGGGATACGTGCCCCTTAAAAGTAAGGTGGACTATAACGTACTAGAGATTATAAATAATGAAAGAAAAACTAAAATATTATCTACTGTACCTTGTTCGGTAATCAAGTTCAGAGTTTATAACCTAATTCAACAATTTCTTTGCTTTTATTTGTTTGAAATGCTAGTTACCTTACCAATGGATACTTGAATACGATATTAGCAGATGAAATTGCTGGCATGGAAGGCATACGTTTGAAAGATATTCCAAGCTTCATAAGAACCATGAGTCTAGACGAATATATGGTTAAATTTGCGTTGCAGGAAACTCAGAGGGCACTTAGAGCTTTTGCCATTATTTTGAATTCATTTGAAGACCTAGAATAAGACTGCATAAAGACATTGTAGTCTATTTTGCCTCCAGTTTATGCCATTGAACCCTTGCACTTTCTCCAGAAAGATGTCAAAGGTAGAAGTCTAGAAATTATTGGATCAAATCTTTGGAAAGATGATCAACGCTATCTTGTATGGCTATTGGCTCGATTCAAAAGAGCCTACCTGTTGTCTATGTACGTAAATTTTGGAAGCATAACAGTCATGACACCTAAACAACTCATTGAATTTGCTTGGGGCCTTGCAAATAATAATGAACCTTCTAGTGGATCATAAGGTCGGATCTTGTATCAGGGGACGATGCAATTCTTCCACCGGAATTCCTTGAAGCCACCAAAGAAAGAAGTCTGTTGGCAAATTGGAACCCTCAAGAGAGAGAGCAACCCTTCCATTGGAGGATTCTTAACTCCAGCGGATGGAATTCGATTCTTGAAAGTATTGACTGTAGAGTGCCAATAATTTGTTGGTCATTTTTCGCCGAGCAATAGACTAACTGTTGGTTCAGCTGCAACAAATGGGGGATTTGCATGGAAATTGATCGTAATTTAAAGAGGGATGAAGTGGAAATTCTTGTGAAAGAATTGATGATTGGAGAAAAGGGAAAAGAGATGTTGAGTTTAAATGCCAAACGAAAATGATTTTATTAACA